CCGCCAACAGAGCCACCGACACCGGCACCAACACCTCCCTTAGCACCGCCACCGACACCAGCTCCTCCACCGACGGAGCCACCGACACCGGCACCACCGCCAACGGAGCCGCCAACACCAGCACCAGCACCACCGTGAGCACCGCCACCNACACCAGCACCGCCGCCAACAGAGCCGCCAACACCAGCACCTCCGCCAACGGAGCCGCCAACACCGGCACCGCCATAGCCACCAGCACCGATTCCGCCCTTGACGCCTCCGATGATACCACCTAGGCCACCGAGACCTGCGCTGACTCCGCCCTTGGCACCGCCGACGATGCCACCGACCAGACCGCCGAGGCCAGCACCGGTGCTACCACCGACACCAGCGCTGGCACCGCCATAGCCAGTCTTGCTGTAGGTGAGGAGTCCACCGAGACCAGCACCGGCATTGCCAGCGCCGCCGACCAATCCGCCAAGGCCAGCACCAGCACCTCCATTGGCGCCTCCGTAAGCACCTCCACCAACGAGGCCACCAAGGCCAGCACCTCCGCCGACGAGTCCGCCGAGGCCAGCACCAGCACCGCCGTGGGCACCGCCGCCAACTAGGCCACCAATTCCGCCCTTGGCACCTCCACCGAGGAGAGGAAGTCCAAGTCCCCAGCCGCTGCCGCTACCGCTACCGCTGCCGTAGCCTCCAGCACCACCAGCGGGAGGAGCAGCACCTCCGCCGTAGGAAGCACCGCCGGAAGGAGGAGTAGGAGTGGAGCCACCTGGGCGACCTCCAGCAGGAGGAGCAGGGCCAGAGCCTCCAGCAGAAGGAGTAGAACCAGAGCCTGGCAGGTCGTCGTAGGTAGGACCGCTGCTAGCAGGAGCGGTGGTCAATGGGGCAGATGGCTGAACACCTGAGCCGCCGCCATAGCGTTGAGGGTGAGGAAGAGCGGAGACGATGCTGGTAAGAGCCAAGATCTGAGCAGTGTGGTACTTCATGTTTGCTGATTTCGAGTTTAGAGATTCTTAGTTAAAAAGACGATAGTCGAGTAAATCGATGTAGATTGAGTATTGCTTGGGAATTGAAGATAGCGAATGTGAGTGCACTGCACAAACGAAAGACTGTAGGAGAGTGATTGAAGTGGAAAGCGAAAGTGTAAGATGTTGTGATGCTTTTTCTTCGAGGTCGGACGAGTCCATCTTATACTCAGAGATGCCCCCCCTTCAAGACAGTCGACCAGTACATCCACAGCTGTTGTGGCGTCGGGCTCATGCTGGAGCTATTCTGGTCTTGTTTCGAAACTTGGCTCCCGCATCGAGTTACTATCTTTCGCACGAGTAGTGCCAAAAGAGGGACAGTCAGCCAGGGGTCTAGACTATAGCCGTTTCAGGCAATCAGGCTCTCTCTTTTGCAACTGTGCACTGCCGTGTTCTGTGCGATCGACGTAGTGTACCTGCAGGATAGAGCCCGGATGTGCTGCAGGGGCATGCGATGCGGGTTACTTCCAGCCGAATATTGTCGGTGGGACTGGCCCCAGCTTTTTGTCCGGCAAAGACTCATGGGCGATGTTTAGTGCCTGCTTAATTTGTCACTTTTTGGCGATCTGCCATGTATGCAAGGCATTGAGATCAGCTAATACGGCTATCGAGTAGGCGGGTGTCTCCGTTCCCTTGCTTCGTGGAGTTGCAGCATCGTGCAGAGTTGATGCGCATCAGCTATTGACGTGAAGACGTCATTCATCGGACAATCTTTGTTCATCATGAGGGGTTTCCGATTGCAAATGTAGATTGGGTTGTATAGACAGAGCTTTGATGCATCTCGCCCCCTTTCAAGGCTGCCACGGCTGTCAGACATGTTTCTTGGGTTACAGTTCGGATACGTACGGAAATAATTTTGGGCGCAGATTTCCGTGGGCATCGTGTGCCTGCAGGGCTTCACATGGCGATGGAATGAATTGCCGGGCGGGTGACCGTGCCTGGGTAGAGAGTCGTACAGAGAGCAAGAGAGAGCAAGGGTGAGGCTCTGTGCACTGTGGAGTCGAAAACATCAAAGCTTTCGGCTAGCCGCTTACGTCGTACTTGCCGGCCAGAAGGTTTGCATCGTCGTTTCTTACACTCCTTCTGGCCCTGCGCCCACTATGCCCACGAATGAGATCCCCGCGTCGTTCTCGCAGCATGCTTGTCCCATGATTTTCCACTATCGTTTCACAGGGCATGCTCCGAGCTACCGGGCCCCACGACGCCCCGTCGTATGACTACCCACGATTTGGTCTCTCTCCTTTGACTCCAATGTCTCTAGTCAAAACCCTAGACAGGAACACGGCGTTAATGCAGAGTCTACCTCGAAACACATGGTCCGTTCTTTATGCTGGAATTCAGACCAGATCGACATGTACGTGGATACAGTGCCCTTCTCGCCGCTGCGGGAGGTGACATTGCGCAAGCCTCAACACCAGGACCATGATGGCATTGTGAAACAACTTTACGCATTGTTCAGAAGAGTTGCGGGTTACGAGCCGCAGATACAGACAAATATAGAAGTTGAACAAAACCTCCACCACGCTGGCCGCCTGAGCCTCCTCGGCTCATGGCACATACTAGCATCTATCAACCTGACTCACAGCTGCCAACTTTCTAGCTATGCTGCGCGGCTTCCATCACCAGCAGCCATCGATGCCGTAAGAGAAATATTGGTCATGAAAGATCGACTCTCATCAAGGTTCTGGCTTGTTCCGTTAACGCAATCATCACACGCTTAGAAAGAATCCTGCCAAACTATTGTTTTGGGCAGATTTAATTTACCCATTATCCTCGTAAGTGCAGGACAAGTAAGTATGCAGGTCCCCGATCGGCCAGCCTCGCCCATACCGAGAGAGAAATCTGTTACGAATGTGTCAGCGCTCTAGTGGCCCTTTTTCCGCCAACAGCTGCCAGAGTTGTTGATGTTCTGGTCGCCATTTGGAATGACGAGCCAGTGCCCTCTTTCAACGACGGTGCCTGACTAGGCCCAGCCAAGCGCAACGCTAGACAATATGGTCCCCCTAATGTGTGTTTACGGCGCGTTAGAATCTCACCGCTATGCCAATGCGTTTTCTTTCGGCGCCATGCAAACGATGAAATGTCAGCACCTTTTCTTCTCAGGAGGTGAGATAGGAGAAGGCGTGCAAGCACGCAAGAAAAGTCTGGGCGTACGCCTTGCTCTCCACCCATTTTTTTTCTTGGACGTTCCAGACCTCTCACGGCCCTTTCAGGCTGATCACGCCTTGGTATTGACAAACATGCCAAATACCTTTTTGTTTACTGCCAAGAAAACTGCTTCGGCGGCCTGCATATGCTTTACAAAGTTTGATGAAGCCAAGATGTCCATTGCTAGGTTTATACGCACGACTTCGCAACTTCCGGTGCATTGGACCCTTTTTTTTTCTCTGCAAATGTTATCGGGATCCGCAAGATGCCAGCAAAAGTCTATCGTGTTAGTTTATTTACTTGCCTCTTCTAAACACCAGCGGTGAGGCTCTTGGCTCAGGAATCCCTAGACAATGCTGTTCTTGGATCTCGTCATCGTCCGGCACACTGGTCAAGGGGTATATCGATCTTCGGAGTGCCAGCAAGGAAGACTTGAGTTTGACTGATTGATCTTCCCGTGTGTTTGTTTGTTTGCTTTTTTGCCCTGCATCCAGCATGTTAACTTTACCACTACCCATTAGTCTATCAAGCTAGAATCGTGATAGATCGTCGTTCAATCCATGTACGTGCAGATTGCGCAAGGTGAGATTACGACGTTGCAGTCGCTGTTCCCGGGTGTGATATAAAAGGCCAGGAGAGGTTGTGTGATGCTGCAAAAAAGGCATCTATGACGTGTACATGTGTTGCTTTGGTATCTTGTTATGATGCACCAATTCTGTGCTATGGATGGTGATCAGTGATCGACGTGTGATAGTGCGCGTAGGTGTTGGTGAGGTTCCCTGGGATGTGGGAGAGAAAGGGATGGAGGGTTTGAGAGGGGACTGCTGGGTGGGATTATGATTTTCTCTGGGAAGTTGGGTTGGAGACTTGTTATCAGATACTAGGAAAATGTTTGGAATTGTGTAGCTTGTGGTTGTTGCATTAATGTTCTGTTCATTGCTGGGTTGAAGGCTGTTGAGGTACCTGTGTAGAAATATTGTAGATTGACACGTGAAGTTGGAAACTTATATGTGCCACCTTTAGCAAGGAACTCTGCAGTGCTGGTAGTCAATAGATTAACATGCGATCTTCTGGAAATTATTCTAGTCTTGTGGCTTTTGTGATGTACTATTTCGTAGATACAAATACTGGTTGGTGATTTAGAATAATGAGGTTGTTTAGCGAGAAGAAGAAACAACAGAGCTACGGGAAAAGAAAGTATTTTCCGATCAAGTTCCACCTGCGATGTATCTGTGAGTTCTTCTACATGAATACAGGGGAATTTTGTTAAGTTGGCCTCGAATTGGTACGCAGGAGGAATATATTTTGTTCGCCTCAATATTCAACTCTGTCTTTGTTCTTAGAATTCGATCAAAATATTTACAATAATAGAATATTGCATTATTCTCGCATGAAAGTATATCAAGAGCAGAGATTCTTGTAGATTCGGTAATCATGCAGTCTTAACAGTAACGTTGTTGATGGGGTTATTTTTTGTAGTTCTTCAATAAGATAATTAACTCAAACCCAGAGACTCGAATACTTCGCTGCTTAGTGTTTCTCAGTTAAATTGAATAATTGCAATTGATGTCTCTCGTAGCGTAAATATATACGAGAGGACAGTTCAGTCACGAGCAGCTGTTGTCTGTAGAGAGCACGATTATTATTTAAGAGTAGATATATATTGATATATTATTGCAGTAACCATGAAGACACAAGATTCATGTGTTCATTGATAAAATATGCTTATTGCAGGATCATTACAGATATATGAATACTATTCTGTCATTGTTTGCAGTTTAGTGTACCACGACGGACGTGTCCCATGTTCTTCGTAGAAATGTGCCTCGAATAGGTAGCCTCCTAGGAGCGCACGTGACTTTGAGCAACCGGATCGCGGATCTTATGTCACGCTAGGACAAGATTCAAGCCTAGCAGAACTCCACTTTTACGAGAATCTAATTTTTCTTCATTGGCTTTTTATCTTGAGATTGAGCATTTTTTCGGTGGGTTGTGAGTGTGTATGGCACGTGGTTTCGTATCCAAGGGAAAAGGAGATGTGCGCGCTACTTGGAAGTTGCGCTAATGAAACAGGGGTTCCTATTGCAATTGCGCGACTCGTCGCGTCACCATCGTGTTCACTCTCCCTAGGGCTGCTTCCATCTACCCAAAAACACCATCTCCTGTATCCAAAGCCTCAACCCTGTGGATTCGAATCATCGTCGCGTTCAATTTCACTCTGGTACCTATGGCGCACCCGAGCCTTGTTGCGAACAAAGATGCGGATGCATCCAAAGTAGATCCGGCAATATGGTGAATATCTGTGACTAACCATCTGACACGGCAGTCACCGAACTGACGCGATACGATATGTACGCCGGGAGAGGCATTGGCAGTGTGTGACCAAGAATCGTTCACGCGGCACAGTAACGGGCCGCTGAGGCTGGGCTTTCCAGGCCTACCAAGAACACCTTCTAGAACCTCGACTTTACTACGCCAACAACGCGAAGACGGTGGTAAGCTGGCTTGATTCCGGCTTGATTCCGGCTCGATCTCACGATAGCGCAGGACATAGCATGTCTAGGTTGCTGGGGTCGCATTTTGATCACATCTGCACCAAGCTTACCTACCATGGTGTTCCGTTTCTAGTCCCCCGCAATTGAGGTTAAACCAAAATGCGCATCCGAAGAAGCAAACTAGTTTATAGCATTAGCGGACCAATTCGCATCCGCTTTCCCATAAGGCTATGTTTGTAAAAAAAAAGAGGCCGAGACATCCCACTTCTAAGGTTTTGCCGTTGGTGCTTCTCTTCGTAACCACAATCCCCTTTTCCGGTTCGGCATCTTTCTCAATGCTCTTATTTTTTGGATGGCTAGGCGGGCATCATTTTTCATACTATCCTACCCCACTGTCAGCGTGCTGATGACCATAGAAATACGGAGAACTACTGTTAGCTAAGAATACAAGAAACATTACGGCGAAGGTAAGGACAAGACCAATGATCTCAGGCGATGACCACGATTCCATTGTACATACCCATTCGAGCGGGGATATTAGACACACCATTGAAGGCCTGAAGAACAAAAGGCCAATGGGATCGGAGTGCTTAATCTGAAAGAAGATTGGAAGGTCAGTCTTCGGCGGAGACTGAATATGAAGGAAGATCAGAGCGACAGCGAAGGCGCAACCGTCAATGGGCAGGTTAATGTAAAAACACCAGTGCCATCCAAGCCTGTTCAACACGTTAGCCAGTGGTCGAGATCAGCATACCAGTTATCAGTGAAGGTATCACCAAGAAATGGTCCTTGAACAAACGATACGCTGAATGAAACAGCAAAGAGTCCAATGAATATAGGTCGTTTGCGAAGCGACACCAGCAACACGATTACCATCATGGTACCGCTACTAACACCTGCCCCTCGGACACCCGCAATAGCCCAACCAACAACTACTAGGGAGATTCTCAAATCACACGCCATCATACCGCCCAATCGATATTTCTCACAAGCCGTAGACGTATGCGCAGCCCCACACATCGCACTCCCGACTTCAAACAAAACGATCGCTATCAAGAACGTGCGTTTCATATCATACAACTTATACAGCTTTCCGTACAACGGATTGGAAGCTGCACACGTAAGCATGTATGCACTAACAGGTTGAAGCTTGGGCGGGCGTCTGTTTCGTTGCAATTAATAGAGGCGGTTGGGCAGCATCATGTTGGGCAGCATCATGTTGGTATAGCGACGAGCCGTTGAGTAACGATCCAAAGTTCAGAGAAAATTTGGCTGGTTGTCTGTGAACAATCTATCTTCGTATCTCTTGTTCTAATTCTAACATCGCTGTATCGTTATCGTATTCATGGCATGTTCGGGTTTGGCGGTCCCTTTGCCAACTTGAAGTATCCTGGACTCAAGTTCTGGAACACCTGCGCCGGATCGTACTTCTTGCTAACGGCGATGAGCTTGGCGACATTGTCAGCTCCGTAACTAGCGATTGGATCCATGAACTGGGATGCATAATTCATGTAGATGTAGTCGTTGTCTACGCCTCTCCTCTGTGCCTCAGCCTTGACCTTGTTGATAATGCCTGAGTAGCATTTCAGAATGGCGGCTTGACCTGTGGGGTCTTTAAATGATGCACTTAGGTTCATGAGAAAGATTGGTCCCTTGGCGGGACTGAGACCGAGCGCGTTTCCACCATTCTTCTGCATGCCCTTCAGTTGGCCTTCGGTAATTGGTTGAATAGAGATGGTTGGGAGAATGCCCTGGATGCTTTGAATCCCGGTTATTTCCGAGAAGAACGTGTCAACCAGGAAGGTGAAAAGGTCACGGTCAACCTTGAAGGTAGCATCCCAATTTGTTTGCAGAGAGCCGAGTGTGTCATTGAGGGAGCCTCCGTTCAGTTTTATCGTCATTTCACCATGAGATGCGATACCTGTGTTGTCCGATATGGGTGTGAGTGCGTTGATATCAGCAAATACAGAGGCATTGGCCACTGGCAGGGCGTAGTGAGTCTGCACGATAGCAATCTTGCCAACGTTGGGAATACTACCAAAAGACACGATTTCAGCGGCATCGGTGTCTTTCGAAGATCCGACGGTAGCGAAATTGAAAACAGCATCCAGAACAGCCTTGAAATTGTTTTCTGTAAAGATGCGCTGGCCACCCCACATATTGCCTTGGGGGAAAGCGTGGAGCTTGAAGTTGGTCACTACACCAAAGTTGCTGCCACCGCCACCACGGAGAGCCCAGTATAAGTCAGAAAATTCGGTAGGACTGGCAGTAACAACCAAGCCAGATGCCGTGACGACTTCATAGCTTGCAACGTTGTCACAAGCCCAACCTAGCTTGTTGGAAAAGAATGAGATCCCACCACCAAGTATGAGACCCGGCACCCCGACTGGAGCCATCTAAATTCTTGTTATCAGGGAGTTGTTGCAGTTCTCAAAAGGCGACTTACCCTGCCTCCAACGACGCTGACACCAGACTTTTCGATCGTTGTATATACATCAACCCATCGAGTTCCGGCACCGACATTGGCATATTTCTTGTCATTTGAAACAGCAACGTGATTGAAGCGCTCCATGGAAACGGTAATGCCTCCCTCGATGCTGGATGCCCCAGCAAAAGCAGCATGACCACCGCCTTTCACAGCAAATGGGCATTGTGTCAAACGGGATATCAACAGCCACGAAGATATTTCGATAGTGCTGGATGGCTTGAAGACACATCTCGGGTTTACAGCACCCTGCTGGACGCTCCAGTAGGCACCAGTGAATGCATCGTATGTAGATGAATTGTCGAAAAGCAGCTTGTCGCTGCCATAGATGCGCTCCAAGGATGAACACTTGGAAATGGTCAGCAAAGCCAATGAGTAAAAACAAGTTCGAGGTTCGAACGTACGGCAGCAGAGCACCCATTGAATGATCGTTCTGAAAACTTGGCAAGCTCAGGGATGGCGGACACGTCGATACCATTGGCGATCAGCGCTTTGGTGATGTTAAAGTTTGCAGGTTCAAAAGCACCTGTCGTCTGTGCCGAAGCAAACGCGACAAGGGTACTGATTTGCCAAAGGACCTTCATTCTGGGATCGGTGGAGGACGGAAGGAAGGCGGAAGAGTTCCCAGATACCCAGCCCCGTGCTGAGCAGTACAAGCTTAATTTATTCTGGCTGTCAAGACTGGGAATTGATCCGCGGCAGACAATTGGCGCCTTCCAGTATAGTTCATCTCGGTTGGGTGAACAGTTATGCTTTTGGACTTTAGGGGAGCAACGACTAGGGTCGTTGGTGGCGAAGCTCGTTGTTATTCGATGGAGATTTAAACTAAGTCGCACCTGCGTTAGTGTATGCTGCATTGCGAATCCTTCGCAGCATTAATGTGATTGCAACAACAAAGTGTGTTGCAGTGTTCTTGCATCTTGGCTCTCTAGTCGTCATGGGTTCAGTCTGGAAGTAGACAGCTGACTGAACTTTTTCATCTCATGTGAAGGTGAAGAAATGGGAGCGGAACGAAGCTGATCGTGAACAGACCGTGACATTGCTAAGTGCCAAAAAGTCCGGGGTGCCAAGAGTTGTCCAATGCGGCAATCTCTTGTTGCGAAGGATGTCAGCATTTTTGTCAGGCCAACATTTGGGCCTGTATCTTGGCGTAATCCGCTTGGAGCCGTACAATATGCATATTTGGGTGCTACCCAATCACATGTCCAACTGCAACCCGACGACGTGGTCAACGAATATATGGTTGCCCCATCAAGCGTCTGCTCCGACACCCCATCTTTTATTGCAAGCAATCGCCTGTAATGTTGAACACGACCTCGAAACGACAACGAACCAGCGAATTTTTGTCCTTGGAGACCTTATGCATAAGGAATCTACCAGGTCTTTGTATTGGACTCTAGCGGCACATTCGAATCCCATTGAGCTTATTGAGCAATCAAGTGGGTACCACGTTTGAGACGGGTGCATTGACTATGTGAATGTCATGTTCAGAAATGGCACGACATGCAAAGCTAGGCATAGTGAATAAAAGTGGGACAGCCCGGCGGTAAGTATCTTGCATGCATTGCGTATTACGACCGCCACAGCAATCTCATTCTTCGGGGAGAATTCTGTTCACACACACCTTCGACTTGAAGGGTCTATTCCCTACCCTGTGTTTTGTTTTTACGTTCTTGGGCTGTTTCAGGTTAGAATGTTACTAACAGTAATGCTGGTTGGCGTCGTGGCTAGACTTATCTAGGTGTGCTTTACAAAACATAAGTCTGTTCTTCCTCAAGAGGTAGAGATATAGTGCAAATCAGCACTAAGCAGAGCTTATTTTAGTATTACAGCGCTAACAAAACGGAGGCTCATTTGGTACCCCCCAAAACGCCCGTTTCACCGAATACAACAGCGGTTTACGTCCCGTTTTCAAAACGGAGCTGAACGGGACAGGACCTAAGTCTTCTTGGGAAATGCTTCAAGCCCCTTAGATCCTACGCTCCGCATACTTATGGGCAATCCATGGAGTGCGCGGAAGGTACCGTACTTGAATTCTAGGAAGAACGTGGTATCATTACGCAACTTGCTCGGCTTTCCAAAGAGGCTTCATCCTTGAGAATTTGGGCTGCGAATGAATTATATACGCACGTAAGGCAAAGTGCTCGGATACGCAGTCAGCTATCTCCACAAACGTCCCCGGCCGTTCGAGACTCGCCAATGCTAAATATGAGGACCTGAACCGCCAACTCCGACGTCGTATCTCATGTCAACACCTCCAAAGAGCCCCATAACCAAGGATGAGCTGGTGCGTACAAACGTAGCCATGCTCATCCTGACCTCGTTATTCATTCTATCGCGAGTGATCCTCCAGATCGCTAAACGCAGACCCTTCGGATTGCCCGATTTTTTCATATATTTCGCTTTTGTTCTGTTCGTCTCCATGTGGACATGCTACATCGCCGTCATACCCACCATGTTCAGAATTTTCGATGTGCTTGAGGGTCTCATCCGACCATATCCCACAATGATGGGTGACGCCGGGAGGCTGCTTCGGCACATCACAGCTGCTCAGATGCTGTTCTATACTCTTCTATTTACTGTCAAAATGTCTTTGTTGACACTGTACCGGAAGATTTTGGTAGGGCTACCTGTCATATACGACAGGATATGGTGGGGTACCGTGGCGTTTTGCATTCTGGTCAGTATCTGTTCTAGCACCTGGTAGCTATCAATATAAACGCTGACCTGATCATAGTCCTGGATCGGCAGTATTTTCACGAGTATTTTCACGTGTAATGATCTCAAAGAAAAGTTCTCAAGAGGGAGATGCGCTGGCACGCCCGATGAGCAACAAAGAATCATCTTCAGTCTCTATTTTGCATACTCGGTAGATGTGGCCACTGACCTTGCAAGTAAGTCGAGAAAAGTCAATCGAGCTTTGCAAAGCGGTGCTGACAAATTCAGTTATGATTCTTCCTCTATTTCTTATATGGAAGTTGCAGATGCCTAGGAAGCGAAAGATTGGAATCTTCATACTATTCGGTAGTGGCTTCGTTTGCATAGCTTTCGCTACGCTCCGCGTTGTACAAGTGGGTGTTGATCGTCGCGGTAAAACAACAATACCGGAGCTTGATTGGTTATTGCTGTGGACAGTCGTGGAATGCGCAATGGGTATGTTGATAATGGAAACTTTTGCAAAGACTGCCATGTGCGTCGCTAACACAAAGTCTAGCCGTCGTTATTGGATGTTCTCCCGCCTTTACAGGCCTGATTCGTAAACGAATCGTCACCATAGGGGGACCAGCATACGATAGGCAAGGTTACATCAAACAAGGATCTAATGAGGTGGAGATGGGGATCATGGCTGGCTCTGCAAGTCAACAAAACCATGTGGCCCGGGATCCGTACGAGGAATATTTTCAATACAGCCAGGAAGAGCTCACAAGAACCATTCACAATAGTCAAGAAGAGCTCACAAGAACTACTCATAACAGTCAAGAAGAGATTACAAGAGCTACTGAATATACGGCAGTCGTGCGGGCTGTTAGCTAGGTTGAGCAAACATGAACTTATGAATTAGAACATAGCAAAAGTATTGTATCAAAATAAAAGAGCAAAAGGAATTAATCGTCAGTAAAAAGAAGTCGATATACATCAGTATCCTCTCAACTTGATATCAAGGATCCTTGAATATATGTGAAGTTTGTCACGTTTATATGACTTGCGTCACCCCGTTTAACGAGACTCACACAAAGAAACACAAACCCCAATCTTGGCATCTCGATACGACTCTCGCATTAAGCCCGACATTCCGGTCACACAGCTATACGACAAGCCTTCCTCACAAACACAAACAAATCCCGAAACTTATGCTCGTGATATACCCCGGCCATAGCTATAACTCAAAGCTAAACATAACAAACTAGCCCCCATCGCCATGCCATCACCCGAACAAAACATCCACATCACATCATGACTCAAAACAGACATCACGAAGCAGAGAAAGTAACTTATATCGAGCAGCATCTTCAATTGTCACCCGCAATATCGGCGGCTAATGGGGCAGCCATCTAGGCTCGGTAGGTCAACCACCAGCATCTCCAAAACGCCTCTACTTAATCTTGTCCCCGTATCAATTCGGACTGATCTTTGTATAGTAATAAACATATGTGCAAATCTCCCTCGGCATTCTCACTCCATAGCTATGACACTGAAGCGCTTACGCGCCAGGAGTACGGCGGCACAGAGGACGGCCGCGCTCCAGAGTGTTGGGGTCGCAAGTGAGACGGCTGTCTTCGATGCAAGTCAATTGTGCGCCGCCTAGACATGTCTATTAGTTTCTGTTGCCACCAACACTATTGTTTATGGAGTTTTTTTTTGAACTTACAGTTGTTGATGCTGTCAGGCACGCAGCGACCGGTTTGACCATTGACATTGCACACATCCTGCTTCAAGCTCGTGTTTGCGATACAGCATGCGCCGTTGGGGACGGGGCGGTTGGCATTTGCGCCCTGAGGCATAGCGGCTGCGAGAGCAGAGAGAGCGAGGACAATGGCGGAGGTAGTGAACTTCATTTTGAAAATTTTGAGGAAGTTTGTTTGTAAGGGTGAATAATGTTTATGATAGTATAAGTTGGATTAAGGAGGTTTAAAAGACCGACCAGCGGAAGAGACGAAGAATTGAATAAGGGGAGAAAAGTAGAGGAGTAGACGAGAAGACTGAGGCTGAAGATGCTGATGAGGCAATTCTCAGGGTGAACCAAGGCACCCTTCTTATACTTTGCAAAACCTGAAGGAACAGGCGCGCCTGGGCTGGAAACTCCGCACGATGGCATTGTCTTGACGCGCCGCAACACCCGTTCACCGCAGCCTCGTCGAGACACACGACTAGCCGACTACTACCCCAAAAAACCCATCGAGACAAACACAAAACACCAAGGTCCGGCTGCAGAAGCCTGGAAAGTACGGCGGAGTAGCCGCTTTGGGTGGCGCAAACCCGGCGCAGCAGAGAAAGCGGTTCATGCTACTCAGGCGCGTGGGCGACAAAGGGCAGTGCATGATACGCAGATCATACAGGGACGTCAGCAGATGGCTTCCTTTGAGGGCTTCGAGACGTGGGAAGAGCGCAGGAAGGCGCCAATATATGAAACTGTTATGCTGTTTAGGTGGCGGGTTTGAAACGTTAGTCTCCGCTGCAACATCCACATTGGCAGGTTGACGGGGGTTGTGTTACCCACTCTTGTATGCGGAAAACACGGGCTTGGGAAGAAGTATGATTCATGGTTTTTCCTGTTCCTGGGCGCGTGGAAGAGAATTATTGTAATTGTACCATGCATATGTTCAATTGTGCATTTTGTTTATTTTTCTCATACCAACCCTTGAGTATCTAGATAGTAGTCGACTCTCTACTAATCTAGCACTTCAGAAAAGATAAAAGTCTCCCTGCGCTCCTGCCTCCACCTTCAAAGTATCAATAATGAGATACCGATCCAATTCCCCCCTGTGTCAAAAGTGACTCCTTCCTCATCTTGCACAACACCCCCCTTTCTCCTCAGCACCCGAGGAACAAGACTCTCATGCGCCGTACATGCCGCCGAGTCTCA